GAAACAATCTATCATCATCAGTCTTTATTTTTTTTATTTTTTTATTTTTTTCAGTTTTTCTTGGTTTTGGTATTTGCCTTGTTTCGTTGGTTGTTGCTGTTTCCCTGCCTTATGTGCTGGTGTGTTGTCTTCCCTCCCGCCTCCCCAGTGCCCTCCGACCTATGTGTTGTCTTATTTTTTTTTGGTACTTGCCTTGTCCACTGGTTGTTGTTGTTTCCCTGCCTTATGTGCTTGTGTGTTGTCTGCCCTCCCGCCTCCCCCGTGCCCTCCAACCTATGTGTTGTTGCAAGTTTCTTGCTTCCCCGTGTGCCCTCCAGCACACGTTGTCGTTTCTTGCTTCCCCCAACATTCGAGTAGATGCCGTTCTTCACCACTACAGATAAAATCTACCATACTTGCGAATGTTACCTAAGCTAGAGGTGTGCCGATGACCTATCATCGGAGATCATACCTGGCATAGTGTAACTTGCCATGGGGTGCATTGAAGCACACACATCAAAACACACACACACACACACACACACACACACACACACACACACACACACACAGGGTTGTAGAATAGAATGTTCTCCTTTATTTTTTTCTAATTTTCTATTAAAAAAAAAAATCAACATTAGAAAAAAAGTATATGGGCGTGTCGGGTTTTTCAAACACTACACGCCCATTTTTTTTTTTCCATCCATTTGCAAGGAAGATGAGCAATAGCGAACTTCAGCAATCAAACAGCATCATGCATATGAGCTCAGATAGTCGTGACCTCGAACCAACAGCAGAATTGCACCACGAGATTCACCAAATAAGAACACACCAAGAGTTCATAATTGACAATGCTGAAATAGTCCCATCATCATCAACGAAGAACCAGAGTTGATATCCTATCTGGCGCTCGGCGCCCAGACTACATGTGGCAGATCCTATCTAGCCTACACTACGATACCGAAAGATGGCGTCAACAGCATTCCCGAAGTACGAGCATATGGCGACCAATGTCGCACGCTTCCAGCACCAGGTATGTCTCTCGCTACACTCACAACCTCGTTCCCCAACACACAGATGCCACTAGCACCCAAGGACCACCCTGCGCCACACCCAGCTCACAGCAGAGCAGCTCGGCTATGGCTTCCCTCTCCTTCCTGCTCGCCCGTGAGAGCGCGAGTGCCAGCCAGCGAAATAGCGCAGCAGCGCTTGCGCAGCATGCAGCCAGCACCCGAATGCCCAATACGGAGGCAGGCCCTTTGCTATATCGAAGTGGCCTGCCTGCGTGCAGTCCCAGGAAGCTTCCAGTAGGCCCCGGTAGCCTGAGGCCCAGCTCGACGAAAACAGGCCTTGGGCCTGAGGTGGTTGCATGTACCCAACTGCCTTTGGCCTGTGTTTGGCCCAGTACCCGTATCCAGCCCACGGCCTGCTTCACATTCATTCACACAGGCGGCCCAGGGCCTGGGTTCGCTCAACCAACTGGCGCGGAGCAACTGCCTGAATTTCCTTGAGTTGCGCAGAGGCCGAAATAAGGCCCTGAGGGGCCTCGTCGAGCCTGCCTTCACTTAGGGCGGCCGACAGGCTCCCAAAAAGGGCCTGAATGGGTCTCATAGAGGCAGTGGCCTTGCACATTAAAGAAAATAAGAAAAATAAAAAACCAACCATGACGCCCATTTTTTTTTGTCCAATGGGGATTCAACGGGGATTCAACGGGGATTCAACGGGGATTCAACTGGATTCAACGGGATTCAACGGGGTGGCAATTGTTTTTCGCTCCACGCGCGTCCAGCGACGTGTCCGAGGCCCAATGCGCCCTCCCCGTTGAACAGTATTCAACGGGGAGGGCCCGTTGTACTACTCAACGGGGATTCAACGGGGCCCCGGGGGCTATTCAACGGGTACACCGGCGTTGAAACTTTTCCGTTGCACTTTGAATAGACACACATCACACTGCCAAGACTAACCATCAGTATGCGAGAGGCGCACTGTTATGAGCATACCTGATGCGAACGGTGGGTATGACAGTGGAAGCTCCACCACAGCAAAGGGTGAGCAGCAAAGTCCTACCAACCGCGTGGTGTATTTGAAGCAAGGCCTCATGCTCCACAATGCGTGTGCCTCCGATAGGCGCACTGTATTGGAAAACAAAAGCAACGGCATGAAGACGTCGGAGAGAAGCAAGTTTGCCACAAATGGAAAGATGGCCTGCTGGGTGCACCAGTGTCCGACAATAATGAGGCTGGACTGTTTCCACTCGGTGAGGCCTACTCAATTTCCCTTTGTCGCGGACAGAGCACATGGCCATAAGGTACGGTCAGATGCATATGGGAGAGCCCAACTTTTGAGTCAGATGCAGCCGGTAACAATTAGGCTGTCCCTCCGTACTACGACAGATCTGTGAACGGGGACAACCGCGAATTAAGGACGCACTGGCTGTATGTGGCATGAGTCGCTGTCAGAGACGTTCTAATTCACAATATTTTCATCATTTTCTTCGCGTTAAAAAATTCGAAACAAACCGATATTTTTGTATATTTAAATACGTAAACCCGGCCACACACCACTCTAATCGTGCCTAGTGGGACCTGGCCCCAGGGCAGTTAGAAACTGCAAAAACAGAACAGCTTTGCGGACATAAAGCCGTTGGAAGTTCAGAAGTGGAAAAATCAGGTGGCCACTTTTTTTTTTTTTTTTCCCACGACTACGATTTTTTATTATTATTTTTTTTGCGCCTGCGACTTTTTTTACCCCTTCATTTCCGTGCCAGCGACCTTTTTTTTTTTTTTTTTTTKTGCGCCTGCAACTTTTTTTTTTTTTTTTTGCGCGCCTGCTTATGCCACGGCCAAGCCGTCTAGGCCACACCCGTGGCTGGGCCATGGCCGAGATGTCTTGGCCACGCTCATGGCTGGGCCACGGCCGAGCCGAGATGTCTAGGCCACGCCCGTGGCTGGGCCACGGCCGGGATGGCTAGGCCACACCTCTGGGGAAATGAGCCAAAAACGGGAGGGCCTGCTACCAGTAACTGCTCCCAGGCCAGGCCATGGGAAAAAGAGTGGTACCACTACTGCCACCTCCCGTTTTTGCCAATTATTGAACTGGTAGGCCGTCGAAGGCATGATTTACTGTTTTTCTTGCAGTTTCTAACCGGTCTTCGCCCAAGCTTGCAGTGGACTGTTATTTCTGCGAATTCTGAACTGTGCAGCGGTCACAGGTGCAGTTGTCTCAAATAAATTTCATCGGAATATCTGATGTCCATGCTCACCACCTCATGTGTCATGCCAGCAATAGTACGCGTAATTTCTAGAGATCCAGCAATTCTTGTGCGCACAGTTTTGACAACAAACTTTGAAAGCATTCAAGGATACATATCCGCAAAGGTACGGATGCCTCGGTTGGCAAAAAAAAAGAAAAAAAGAGCGGAGAGTGAGCAGTAGTAGCTAAGGAAGGTAAACGTAAGGAAAGTGGGGTAGAGTAGCCTATGGTGCCCCACAGAGACGCCCCCCCCCCCTCTTCGGTCCCCCCTCCTGCTTCTCCTTAGCGGACAGGCTTGAACTGCGCTGGACATCCGACATCCTCCTGGAATGATGGTCATTTGTCTCCCAATTGGTTCAGATTCTTCAGAACTCTGTTCTTGGGGCGAAAGCTGGGTCAGTGATGTTTCTTATGACGTTTCTTTGGGGCTCGTTCGACACTCCTCGGGCGCCGAAATTCACTCATCCTCGGGGAAGATTTGACAAAAAAAAGTGAAAACATTTCCTCGGGGATTCCTCGGGGAATCCTCGGGCTACAGCCATTTTGGTGATTTCCCCAAGGGACCTCCCGAGGTTCCTTGGAGGTCGAGCATCCGGAAGAATTGGGGCGTCGACGGCAGCTCCCTCGACGACATTTTTCGATCCCGTCTGGTCCATCGGTGGTCCTGCCTGCGCCTCCACAGACATATTGGGTCGCCAACGTTCGCCTTCACGGAATTCGACGCCAACAGTTATCGTTTGCGGCCTACCGGCATCCCCGACATCCAGAAGGTGGTGTCATTCATCGTCGCGCTTCGCACGCGGCGGAAATTCGTCCAACGGTCGGCAGATACAAATATTTCAGCCGCCTCGACCTCTCCCGTACACGCACTGTCGTCCGTGAGCGAGTACGACACCTTTCGTTTGTCGACACGTTCCTGACGGCCGTTTGCAGCGCTGCACTTCACCATTATCTTGTCGCCCCCCGTTGTGTTCTGTCTGCTGCCCTCGTCGTCTTCTGTTTCATGGCCGACGTGTTTCGCAGGCTGCCGCTTCTGGTCCTGGTTGTCCTGTTGCTGGTCGTCTTGATTGTCTTCCACGTGTGTATCCTTGGGAACATACCGCGGCGTCAACGCAGAAGAAGGTCTTCGATGAAGGACACCAGGACGGTGGCACGGCAGTCGATCCCCAGGCCCGGAGGGGAGCAGGTCGGCGGTCGGCGTGGCTGGGAAAGCCCGTCGACAATTTTGAGGGCGTCCCAGAGGATTGGGTATGTGGCATTGCCACCGCACTTGCAACCCCTCCCCAACACGTCAGACGAGGAGGAGGAGGGATGGACACGCACCGTGTCGTTGGGAAGCGGATCGACGTAGGAGTGGGCGGCTACGGAGCTAGGCGAGACCGGCGGTGGCTTGTGCGAGCAATCGTTCACTGACCTTCTTCGTTCGGGGTTGAGCGGCGATGAAGGAGACGGCAGTGTCAACCTGTCTTTCGGTCTATCCACCGGGCGGTCGTCAACTCCATCGCGCACGCTTCTCGTGAACCCCCACCCCGACAACGACGGTGGGCAATTGACAGTTGTGGACCGGCCATCGAAGACGAGAGCGTTGGCGTGGGAGGCGACGGGTGCGAACCCGAACCCGTCGATGCAGGCAGCACGGGCGCCGTCTCTTTCCAGGGGCGCATCAGGTCGGCCCCAGTGGGTGCAGTTGCCGTCTCCCCTGTCTGCGGCGTCCAGCGTGGCCCGCCGTCGCGACGACGGCGTCGACACTGAAACCGCCTTCTTTGACGTTGGTGACGACAGGGACGGGAGGGAGGTGTGGGCGGAGCAGCGACGGGACGTTCGGGCGGGGCGAGAGGAATCCATCAGATGGGGGGTGGAGTGGCTTCCTGTGGCGGATCAGGAAAAGGACACGGACACAACACATGCGGAAGGAGACGATAACAATGACAACGACAACGACGGAGAAGGCGGGAAGGGGGAGAGCGGTTACGTCTCGCCGTTCAGGCATAAGGACATGGCAGGTAGGGGCGGGAAGACGAAGGCTTCCTGCCGCAATGCTCGTCCTTGGGGGAAGAAGGCACAAGGGAAGGGGAGCAATGGCGACGGCGACGGTGGTGCGGAGGAAAAGCGTAACTTCTGGTCGGTCGAGCACATTATAGCCCTCATAAGGGCTAAACGTGACCAAGATGTGCATATGGAGGGGATGGGCCACGCGTACGCTCGGATGAAGCCGCGGGAATGGAAGTGGCAAGACGTCGCTCAGAGGTTGAAGAACATGGGCGTGGACAGGGAAGCCGACAAGTGCGGGAAGAAGTGGGACAATCTCATGCAGCAGTTCAAGAAAGTCCATCATTTCCAAACACCGTCTGGGGGGCAGGACTTCTTCCAGTTGAATGGGAAGAAGAGGGCGAACAGGGGGTTCAATTTCAATATGGATCGTGCGGTTTACGACGAGATAGAGGGGTCGACCGGGAAGAACCATACCATCTACCCCAAGAACGTCGCCGACACTGGTGCTTCTAGCGGTGTGCGTATGCCTACGGCAGCGTCTCCGGATCCTGAATCAGTTGTTGATGGGGATGACGGTGTGGGGCGCGATGACGACGAGGAGGGGTCGATGCGAGGTTCTTCCCAAACGACGGGTAGTCCCGACGGTTTCGGGAAGAGGACGAGCACAAGGCAGCCGACTTTCGAGGCGATGACAGAATGCATGGAGAAGCACGGGGCGCTCATGGCGTCGAGGATGGAGAGTGCAAGCAGCAATGCTCCATCCAGGTCCGACAGTGGGAGGCATTGGAAGCTGAAGTTGAAGTGCAAAAAAAACACTACGCTGCGTCGGACGAAGTCAGCAAAAAACTCATGTGCCATGCTTTGTTGGAAATAGCGAAGGCTATTCGTGAGCGGTAGAGTTGCTAGCGAGTGTGTTGTGCATTTTTGACGTCCACAAATGTGGGCGACGAGAAAGTTGTAGGCTTCCCCTCTTGGTCGCATTGGTAGGCAGGCCGTCATCGACGCGGCGGGTCGTCATTGGTCGTTCGGGGTGGGCGGTGACCCGATAAGGCGGATCACTCACCGAGTGTACATTTTTGTGTTGTGGGTGTGCATGTCGTGTACTGCCGTGTTGAGGCGAGACGGATAATTCCGTCATTGACATTTTTTAATACTCTGTGAAAAAGTGCAGAAAGCACTATCCTTTTTTTGAAAATGATGTTCTTAAATTGTCCTCTCTCTCTCTCTCTCACACACACACACACACACACACACAC